GCCTTCAGCATTGGAGAGTAATTTGGCTTTATCGTATTTTTCATTTTTTCTACCAAAAGGGTGAATATCAACATTTCTTGTCTTTAGCAAATCACATGATTAGGTGTCGAGTGGAACAAGCATCATTGAAGGGTTTGTGGGTTTCCCTTTTTTGGGATCATAAACCGTCCAAAGTTAACAATTTTGGAGGCAATGTGCACCACAAATCATAAAACAGGCTAAGGAGAATGAAAGGAAGGAAAAAGCCGCTAGGCGGAGACATAAAAATCGTCTGCCTATTTTTTGCACCACCTCAAATTTCACCAATTCATTCTATTAACGAAGTGTTTTATGGGAATCTTATCGAACAAAAATGAATGCCAAAAGTGCTCTTTCCTAAATTGTAGGACAAAAGGAGGAACAATACATCTTCTACATAAATTGGTAGGTGTTGCATCCCACTTTTCTGCCTTCGCCACAATAAGCAGTGATGGAGAGACAGGTTTTTGACAGATTTTTTTTAAGTGTTCAGACAGCGAAAAATAACAACCAAAAATAATACGGTTTTTCAAATGTTACTGAAGAAATTCCATCAGTCGCCAGAATTCCCCACCCCGACGCTCCCGGCCACCTCCGACCTGACCCGCATCTGATTGGTCCAAGAAGGCATGTGCGAGCGTGTCTCCAAAAATAGCGTCGAATCGATAGCGCGTATCATTGCTGTATCCCTCCATCTGATTGGTCGATGAAATAGCACGCACATACATACACACAGACACGCAGACACCCACGCACATGCAGTGGTGTTGTTGGGGCCAGTTATAGACAAGTGTCTTCAAGGGGAGAGCATTTCGGAGACAAGGGTCTTCGAGAAGCCGAGGTAAAGGAGAAGTTAACGACAGTTCTGCAGTGGGTCGATGTGAGTCAGCACATTTGTGAGGATAGCTGACAAGAGACAATTCTGTCATTAGTAACGTCATCAAACCTCGTCGGCAAGCGGCAAAAACACCTAGGAGAGCGGGATCACAGAGGCCCAAAACCTTTCGGATTTGTATCGACACAACTGTTTGTAAATAGTGATCCTGCGTGCACAGTGAAGAGGAAAGGTACGTTTATGCATAAGTTGTTGCTATTGCCAACCTATTTATGCATGAACAAGAGAATTTGAGTCTCTTAACCGATTGATTTATTGCGTTGGAAAGGGGAAAAATGACTAGCTGATAGGAAAACTGCTCCATTCCACCAATTCAAGCGACTTTACTTGCCTGCAAGTTATTGTTAAGCACATTCGAACAACCAAGTATAAACCATCTCCTAAGACCAGTTTTTCACGAGTGGAAGTGAAGA